GTCAGTGTCGTGCAATGTTATCGCATGAGCTGATTGTTTAGTAACTGGTGGTGTTAGTGGACATTATAGCGTAACTTGTAGTTCATTGGTACTTTCTCTTCTAATATAATAAGATAATAATAATCTCTTGTTTACTTGAAGTATGATTATTCATGTTTGAGAAGGCACTCCGGATAGCAACATAATCATAGCTATTTCCACCCGATTGGATGTCATAATCAGCAGACTCCAGAAAACCTGGCTGGACTGATCGATCGCAATGACTTGAAGTTAAGCCTACACAACACAGTTTTTTTAACCGGCTCAAAACGTCAACGTGAGAGTGCTCCAAACTGCGAGAAACAGCGAGCTTTGCACGAAGGCACTGATAGCTTTGACGCAAACCAGAAACACCATTCCCGAAGAAACCTTAAAACCATGGCTAGTGTAGTGGCTCTACCTGCACTTCTTGATCCTGATCGATAACGTTACCTCCGTCTACTGATAGTCTGAAAGTGATATTAGCTTGTGAATCGTTCAACAAGAGCAACCGGGCCTCGGTCACAGTTGCTGTGTGTTCACTAGACAAACTGGGAGAGGGACATTATTGGACATTGGGCGGCCTACTAACTCCTTGGTTTCAGGTTTCACCATGGCCCCTGATATGATGTGTGTGCGTGTGTGTGTGTGTGTGTGTGTGTGTGTGTGTGTGTGTGTGTGTGTGTGTGTGTGTGTGTGTGTGTGTGTGCGCGCGCGCGGTGGTCCTGTACATGTGTATGCGTCTTGACTCCCATCTGCTTTTCAGTGCTAACCGTTATCTTATCGTGAGTTAGTTCGGAAGCCAAGACTCGATCAGGACACACTTGCACGGGCAGCTGCGACTCGACACATGCTTTAAGCCAAGCCGCCATACATGCACATCAGATAAAATACCATCTCAACAATCCAGGAGATGAGAGCCTGCTGTGTCTGCCCTAACCCGGAAAAGGTTCGCGCACCGAGAGATAATCCGACTGGGACAAAATCAGATACTAGTATGCAATGTAGAATAATGGCTACAGCGCTGGCAACTGAAATCCAACCCCCTGAGCGGTGCGCTCACATCACAAACACCCGGCATGGAATTGTCTGCGAGCAACACAACGAACTTTGCACGAGGGCAGGTAGCAAGTCAGCTAAATCGCACGAGTGCTTCGAACTGATAGGGGCGATACCCTGGCAGATTTTCCATCCGGATATCGGCGACTGACTCGGCTTTCTCTCTCTCTCTCTCTCTCTCTCTCTCTCTCTCTCTCTCTCTCTCTCTCTCTCTCTCTCTCTCTCTCTCTCTCTCTCTCTCTCTCTCTCTCTCTCTCTCTCTCTCTCTCTCTCTCTCTCTCTCTCTCTCTCTCTCTCTCTCTCTCTCTCTCTCTCTCTCTCTCTCTCTCTCTCTCTCTCTCTCTCTCTCTCTCTCTCTCTCTCTCTCTCTCTCTCTCTCTCTCTCTCTCTCTCTCTCTCCTCTCTCTCTCTCTCTCTCTCTCTCTCTCTCTCTCTCTCTCTCTCTCTCTCTCTCTCTCTCTCTCTCTCTCTCTTTCTTTCTTTCTTTCTTTCTTTCTTCCTTTCCTTCTTGCTGTATTACAGTTCATCGTTCTTATACACTGCTGTCGGCGCGCTAATTGTTCTTTCGTTTCGTTTTTCTTTCTTTCTCTCTGTCTGTCCACCCGTCTGTTTTCCTCCCTCCCTTTAAACGGGTCTTCTCTCATTTTCCTGCTCTCACCCTTTAGGGCCTCTACCCTTGTCCTTATGCCTGCCTTTTATTTGTCGTATTATTCCTCTCAGTTTCTCATCTCGTTTTCTCCTGTCGGTATCGTATTCGTCTGCGGTATCCTCTTTCTTTGTCAGTGTGGGACGCTGGTAATCATTCGAGCAAGAGGAAAACCTTCCCCTCTGGCCGAACGCAGTAGATCGGCGGAAAAGTCAGCAAGGTTTGACCTGTGTGTTTGTGTTGTTCATATTTGTTCATACACATGTAATAGCTGGCCCCGGAGGCAATCACACTCACTCCACTCAAACACTCACGTCGTAGTTTACCAGTAGTTATCGGGAAAGAAATATTATACACACTTGGAATGCAAAGAGATAGAAAGGCAACAAGAAAGAAGAAAGCAAGGGAACAAAAGTCCGGCAACCGGCAGCCATGTTGTAGGCCAATCAGCAATCTACGAAAACCGGTCGCCGACGAAATTCTAGAAACATTAGCATAATTAACCAATCACAGTTCACAGCTCTGGAACATTCTGGAACACTAATACTTGTACATTGTACTAGCAGCCAATCACAGTTCGCAACAGACAGTCATACGGGCAAAGTGGGGAAATACGGGTTTAGCCATACACGACTCATACATGTACATTACTCACGAGCGACTCACGGCAAGGGTAATAACACGCAGATACAAAATGCACAAGGAGAGAAAAAAATGTACCTAACTGCCCATCTTGGGGTTCGATGCACTCGATAAAACCCACCTGGAATATACATTGTATACCTTTGGGTAATCCTGAAATAAAGATTATTATTATTATTATTAACTGGTTTGAGGGAAAGAGACAAATTATTATTATATTATATTATATTACATTGTATACCGCCCACCATACATCATCGAGGGCTGACCTCAGGCCCAAATCCATACTCCATGTGATACGCAGGAAACCAGCATGCAGACCACCTTTGCCAGAATCCCAGAATTCCAGAATGCCAGAATGCCAGCCTGTGGTACTCCGCTCGTGTACAGTCATGAACGTGTAAATGATCGTTCATGGTATAACGGCCTGTGAGGTTGGCAACCACCCATCATTTAGTCCTATTGTATTCCGTTGCATCCCGCAAGACACCCATCACATACACTCTGTATTTTAAGATCCAATGGACTGTTCCATTAACCTCTGTACCCTTCCCATGGGTAACTCCCCTGATTACCCCTGATGGGTAACTCCCCTGATCGGCATGCATTCCTCCCCTGAAGAATCCGTCCAAGATGCTCCTGGTAATTGCTGAATGATTGCCGGGATACTGATTGCCGGGTACTGTACTGTTGTCTATTAATGATGATTGGTTCAGCCATGAAACTCTGAGTCACAACGGAATTTGCCCAAGGTTTTCATTGTAGGCCTTTGTGTTGCCTATTAAGTATTATTGTTGGCGCTGGAGCCTCCTTTACCTAACGGTGCATGTAAGAAAAGTTAGTGATATTCTTGCGTACTACATAGTGGCAATGGTACGTAGACGCAGAGTCAGAAGTGCAGAAGTGCAGCAGTGCTTGTAGCTTTCAACGCCAGTCGACGTTCCATCGGTTCTCCAAGGCGACGTGCCACCATGCACGGTCTACTGATGTCGCCAGAACACACTCGTGGGAAGGAGGAAAGCGAGGAAAGCTTGCCCAGCGTCCAATAGAGGCAGGCCAAGGTGTGGATACCACAGTGGAAAGTCTTGGATACCACCTTAACAGCAGGATGTTCTGTAGAGCAATGAAACTCCCTGCTTAGAAGCAAGACTGAGTTGATGAAATAGCTGTCAAACTGCATACCAGCAGTTATTCTAGATGCAATGCAAAGACACTGACCTGAATGTGTCCGGTGATACCCTACGACTCTTCCATCACTGCTGAATGCTGCACAGCTGGGGGTCACGTGGCATAGCGAACGATCACTTGAACTTGAAGTAAGTAAGATATGGCTGCTTGATTGAATATACTCGGCTCCGGGATGCTTTGGAGTTTGGGCGCAGCACAGGCACATATCATACGAAACAGAGATAAAGTGACTAGTTAGGCATGCACGCGAGACGCTCTGAATAACTCTGCATGCTGCGGAGCACTGATCATAAATCATCCGGCGATTATCAGGCGAAATGAGATTAAGGAGATTGAGATGTTGCCCGCGCACTGTAAGTAATCCGTGAAAACCTCCAGGCATTCGTCAGCACAAGTAGCCTCACTGGTCACTGCTCCGCAGGCAAATATTATTATGCATTCCATCTTCTTCGATACAGCTGATCCTTCTGCGTGATTTTCCCGTCTGACCTGAGACCGCGTATCGGCGCGCGCGTCGGCGTTAACAACGCTAATTCAGGGCCATGCGAAAGGATAGTCGGAATGTAACCTTCAACTTGAAAATATTGTGGCTGGTACGTACTTCACGCCATTCTAATGCACTTTCCTTGACACCCATGCATTTAATACGTACATTGTACATATCACACGCCATGATTAGTGGTACAAACCAGCTTGTTATCGCGGAGATCTGTGGGTAATGGGTCACTGACGACGAAAGGGCCGCGGGCCGTACCAGTGCGACAGAAACTGCAGTTTTCGCGACAGGATGCTGCCGGCACAGTGAGTGACTCGTTTTTAATGGCGGACCGTTTTCTAGGGCGATGAGGTACACCATTGTACACGGTACTAGTACACTGATCTGGATCCGTACCAGGTAAAATGTGCATCATCTGGAGTGCCTGGCACGAAAATTAACTGCTTTGGTGCCATTCGTCTGATGAGACCGTTAACGCGTTGCATGGATTGAAACATTCCATGTTGGTGACCCTATTTTCTCACTACACGCGAACATAGGACACAGCGGTGGATATTCAGCACCGCCCAAGCCGCTCACATCTGATCACAACTTTAAATCTGACATGCATGGATGGAGACTCTGAATTCTTGACGACCCGATTGCCCATGCAGGATGCGCAATGTGCTGGCATGCCGCTGTATGCAGTTGTGGTTGAGATTTGTGCGGAAGTATGAAGGCACTTTCAGTGATAGGCTGAGTTCTGGTTTTTTCTTCTTCTCAGGGGTTGAATGGCCTTCTGTTATGCTAGTGCTATTCCCTTGCGCGTTGGATTATGAACTGAATGTGTAACTTGTCTTGTGTTTTTCTGTGGTCTGATGGCACTACATGTATATCTGGTATTGTTGCCAGTGGAGGAGCTGGAGAAGCAACGCGGCGGGAAGGCACTTTCTTAAAACCGGTTCTTTGAGTGTTCTGCCGCGCCGATCTCTGCAGGTGCCATCAGAAATCGACGCTGAGCGCGCGGTCCTTTTGCGCAGATAGGCTATATGCATGCAGCGAGGGAGAACACCTTGAATCACTGCTATGCAAGATAAGACTGAGTCGAATCTCCACGACACACAAGAGAGGTGAATGTTTGACAGCAGCTACTCCGTGATAAGGACTGAGGGCCCACCACTGCAACCAGTCCCGGTGAGGATAGTCTGGACCCCCCACGGCATCAGGCTCGCACACACACACACACATCCACACACGCACTCACACACACAAACGCACGCAAGCCTCGTGCTCTGAAATCTCTACCCAACACACTAGCACCGGATCGACTCCATTGCAGTGAGTGACCGAGTCCCACAGTGCTATGCCGAACGGGCATGGCACCAACTTCAATAGACAATACCAATAGCAATGGGCAATACGGCGATCTGATGATTTGTAGTGGTCTGGGTCTGGGTGTCAATGTAGTTCGCGATACTATTACCCTCAATCTGAGCGTGTGTGCCAGACAATGGTTCACAGTATCCCTGACACGTTGATATGGCTGAGAGTGAGAGCGTCCCTGACACGTTGATATGGCTATGAGCCAGAGAGTGTCCCTGACACGCTGATTTCGCATTCTACACATTGCCGGCGTCACACCCGCTCCCCTGCATGACGTTATGTGATCAATACCACCATGCCCATGGTACCAATAGGCAATAGGGTGAAGTACGAAAACATTGGGCACCGCAGGGAGCTCACATCTGCCTTCACCAGCAGCAGCAGTAGCAGCAGCAACAGCGTGGTCAGTATCGTCCGAACGGATCGACGCCGTCTCAGCATAGCACCGCTTCTATCGTGTGCGAAGATAACTCTTACAGCCCCATCCTAATTGCCGTGAGGAGTGTGAGAACCTTGCCAGCCGAACACAGTATTCTGAGGCCATTGCTTCTCAAATGTTGAGATTACCTTTTCAGAAGTCAGTTGGTACTTGCAACGAGCATGGCTTGTGTGCGACAGCGCCGTGTTCAAATTATCTAAAGAAATTGTTTGGAATTACATGTAGTATTGCTTTGCTCGCGTATGTCTTTTCTCCACGCGCTATGTACACGTCCGGGATTACTCCATTGCCAACTGACATAGTAAACCGCAGATCCCCTTCCTGGCAGTTTCGGTTCGGTGATCAGGAGGTTTACCGTTTCCGTCACTGCTCTCAACCTTTGAGCAGCACTTGAAAAATTCGATTTAGTCCATTCCCAGAGGAGAAGAGAAAATTAGATTTCACGCAGTAGGTAGCTGTGGTATTGTTTGGCTATGCAGCCCTCATCCGTACTGTTCAGCGGACCGACGTTGACGATTTTCTCCACTTTGCTCATGCTGACAACATGGACGCGGCCCGCTGCTGGGCAGCATATTGCTGGACCTCACTTCAATGTGTCATTGAGATTCAAGACAGGTAGGCGCTTCATCCTGGCACATACCGAGATGCAGTGTTTTCAAAGTTACTCTTTACATTGTAATTCGTCTGATTATAGTCATTACACGCAGCAAGCACACACGCACACGCACACGGCAATACTGCCGCGTTCTTTGGAGTCGTCTTTTGCACGGTTTTAGTATTATACTACTACAATCATAATGATTTTACTTGTGTGGCCTCAGATTGGTCCCTGTAGAATGTGCTGCAAACAGTGTAGGTATCAGGAAAGAGAACTCGGTACTCTGTTACTACGGAATTGGGATAACAACTTCAACAAGGTGATTCAATAATTAGGTGCATATCGGTACACGTGTATCTACTGCACATATATGTACATGTTGAGAAATCTAGTGCACATGCGAAACTAAAGGTCTTAGCCTGATTCTCTCCTTTCTCAGTTTCAGCATTTCCTTCCCAGGATCAGGACTGCCATTGCAAGGCAAAAAAGGGGTGTGGTGGGTAGGAGAGCTCCCTGTCACTTCGCCCTTCGCTGTTGCAACCCAGACATGTGCACTGATGGCAGCACATTGTTCATAGAGCTGTGGTCTCCATTTACTAACTTATAATTTATGGCACAACCTAGTTGAAACTGGAAGTTGAAAGGGAGCATGACATGGCGTTCAGGGCCAGAAGGGGTGCTGCCTATTTCTTCTCATCTATAGACCATGGTAGACCCGCTCCAGTGGTTCTGCAGAAGCGAATGCGTCCACGGTGGATGCAGACTCTCTACATGATTGCACACATGATGCGCGTGTATTCAATGTCTCCCCTACTGCCCTAGATTATAAAACCGTGCTATGGAGACATGGAGTTGACTATTATGTAGATCTACCATCCATCATCATGAACGTCAGAAATGTGTTGTCTAAAATCATGAATCGCCTGCATTACGCGCGCGCGGCACTGCACCAGGGTTCAACAGTTGTCAGCGGTTTGCAGTGAGCTCGAATGCTGTCGACATGTCGGTGTTCGCAGACGGCCCGACGCACTCCGTGCGTGCGCGTGTGCTGCACGGAGCCGCAAAGTGTCTAGAGTTCTGCGCGTACAGCTACAGTCACGTAGATCTACCGGTATAATTCTAAGCTTTCACCATGCATCCTGAGATCTGCGTTGCTTGACATATCCACACTGTCGACGTGTCATGTGACAGTTATTGTATTTCACACAAACCAATGATCAAAACAATACAATACTGATGGTACGGATGGTCAATCTGCGGGCAATACTGACACAGTACAAGAAGCATTGGCAGTGCGGAAGCTGCAGAACCATGGGTACAGACACTGAGTCTCCATCAATCCTAGTACTGGTGATTGCGTCGCAGCAAGAAGCCGTCTGCGTAGAGTGGAACATATCGTGTGCAAATGAGCAGATGAAAGCTATTATGAAACTCTAGTCTCTACGCATAAGGGACGCTCACTAGGCTATAGGGCATTTGTCCACGCGAGGTAGCGCTGAGAGCATAGTTGTTTGGTCCAAAGTGTACACGTACGTTTCCAGATGGGACGATGGGTTCATTCTGTATCACAATTAATAATTGTGGATTTACAAACAGCCATGCTGCTGACACATCCACAATAACGTAAACATACAACAGTTGAACATACCATGCATGTGAGTCTGTTGATTATAAAGATGGTGTTGGCATGCAGGACGACTATTCCGTATTCGCGTGGTTGCGGGTGCCCAAAAAACAGGCAACACACATGCACTTGTGCAAGTAAGTACATCTACAGTCATGCACATAAATCGTCATTGTGCTTTGTAGTTGTGGCTTGCGCAGCTGCACTGAGTCTGTACTGTAGCACTGTCCCTGGCTTTCCGGATCGGATGTAAGGTTACGTTGCGGTGCGTGTCTTCGTGCGCTAAGGGTTCAAAAGGTCACTGCATGCACTCTACAGCGCTAGCGGCGAGGAAACCTGGAAGTGCATTTCCAAGCTAGCGAGTGTCTTGTGCCTTTCTGTTCGTTCGACGAAGAAGTTCGTGGGCTCGAAGTCGCAGAAACACGGAAAGCACCACACTACAATGTGCATGTAGCTTGCTGTGTGAGTACGTGGCTGTACCGGTTAGAGCCTGGCTGGTGGAAGAAAGGCTCTAGAGTGAACGAGAAGACCTGCGGACTGACGAACAAGATGTGTGTTACCACAATGTCGAGCAGGGTAAAGGATAGGGTTGCCGAAGGAGAGGATGCTGAGCAACTTTCTGTTGTCCTTCCTTGGCTGGAATGAATTTAGAAGGATGCGATTTTGCTTACCAGGCCGTCACTGCCATAAGGTGAGAGAGTGCCCTATTGGTTGGCTTTTGTTGTGCTGCCCTGGTCTACGGATGCATGCAGGGCAAAGCAGACGCTTTAGTCGATAGTCAACCACTGTAGTAGCTCCGCATTGGCACCATCTGTGAGTGCGATGGGTATCTATCTGTGAGGATTCCGCATGGCCACGAAGATCTACTGTTTGCGAACACGCAGCACTCCGTGTTTTGGAGAGCTGGGCTTTGGTAGGACCACGTAGCGACTCGTGCCAGAACTAGAGAAGTCAAGCCAGATTCAAGTGCCTGGCGCACCAGGAATGAGCGCATACCTGTAGCCATGCGGCCGAGTGCATGGCAGAACTGATACCAGGCATAGTGATTAGTGGTCTGCAGTTGCTGGTCGCAGCACGGTCATGTCTTGCCACATGTTGTTACTTTTTCGCCCCGCATCATACAGACCAGACCACATTGCCGGCCGCAGGCTATGTTTTATCCTCAGCCTGCGGGCCCTATTCTGTAGCAGTCTTTCAGTTTGAGTCTTCACTCTTGGCCACATGATCCCATGCTCAAGCAGCTGAGCTGCCATGTTTACCAACCCATCTTGCACTCCGCAGATAACCCAATCATAAAGGACTGAAAGAGATTTCATCTGCACAATGCATGCTCAGCATGCACTGGATGTGAAGACATTCTGACCATTATCTCCTACCATTACTGCATTAGATAACACACTCCCAGTTTATGATCAACAAGGACTGTCGAATTTCCATTACTTTCCTGAACGAGGCACACCGGTGCAGTAGCAGATTTGAAAGGAAACTTTGCGGTGAATACAAAGACTTCCCTTAATCACTGGTGTTATCAGGTAGTGTCAAGAATGTGCCATGTGTCTGCACCCTCGTAACACTGTTATCCTACCCCAGCCCATGGCCCACAGTACCCAAGCAAAATCCTGGAGTAATCCCTAGAATGTGTTGGGGAGACCAGCCACATAGACACCTTCCTGGACACAATTCACACTGATTGGGCCACAGAGGAATGTAACCATCATACCTGATCATTCTGGGGACATAATCAAAAAATGTTGACTATAAATTTTAGTTTTCCCCTAATGTTGCACCATCACTCTGACTGGTAACCTGGTGAAACGAAAGTCAAAATTAACGTTTGTGACGAGAGAGAGAGAGAGAGAGAGAGAGAGAGAGAGAGAGAGAGAGAGAGAGAGAGAGAGAGAGAAAGGGAGAGAGAGTAAGTTACATTTATAAAGACAGGTAAGTCTAACAAATGAGGACTGAGACCTCTACAACAGGGTTTTTACGCCTGAAAGCAGGTGCATGATTTAACAAGCAGGTTGTCAGTCTAGATTGTATGCGCAGATGGAGAAAAAGCGCAGAATTTTTGTAATGAGATTAAAAGCAGAAATAATAAGAAATAAAAAGAAAAGATGAAATGAAACCCTGCTCACAAACCCGCCCAGTCTTGAGAGAGAGAGAGAGAGAGAGAGAGAGAGAGAGGGGGGGGGAGGGAGAGAGACAGATAGATAGATAGAAAGATAGAGAGAGAGAGAGAGAGAGAGAGAGAGAGAGAGAGGGGGGGGAGGGAGAGAGATAGATAGATAGATAGATAGATAGATAGAGAGAGAGAGAGAGAGAGAGAGAGAGAGAGAGAGAGAGAGAGAAAGACACGAGGGGGGGGGGGGTAGAACTTTGTTTTCGATAGTGTATGTTATGTTTTGAAGCACCTGCGGCAGTGTGGATGTGGATGTACTCCATGATCAGGACTGAAGACTGATTGATGTGCTACTTTATACTTCAAGTACATGTGACAAGAACAGTAAATACCTACATCTTGAAGTATAATATGCTAAACATTTCTAAGTTCTTGCAAACTCCACTGCAGCCAGTTACACTTTGGTAGCCTGCCCGATCTATGCTATTTGTCTTTTCGCTGTGACGTACTTTTTTGGAGTTATTCAATTTCCGGTCATGGTTTTTCAAATTTGTCTGCATTGCCAAAAAAACATATTTTGAAGAGGTGGGACCGTCTAGTGTGATTCTTGTTAGGTTGAGAAACTGCTCCATCATAATGGATAGCCAAGTAAATTTCTCAACTCAACTACATAATAATATTATGTGGTTGAGGTGAGGAATTCTTGTACTGACCACTCTACATATTATGTAGCCTCGGGGTGGGCAATAGCAAGAATACAAACGCAAATGGGGGTCGGGCCAATCACGGGGTGGGTGTGAAACATCAGCCACAGCTGTTCCTGCTCCGGGGATAGTGACTATGCACCCCGGCCGTCTGTGACCCCTGTGAGCAAATCTTTTTTCTGGAGGCAGTGGAAACAGATAACGTACTTATATGAATTCTTCTTATACCGATTGACGAGGTGCTCACAGTTTCTAAGGAACCGCTGTGATACTACGGTAATAGCCGGATGTTATCATATGGCTTACATGAAATGTACTTTAATAAAATTAAAAGTACTTCCTTTTCCATTCCCTCAACTAATGAATATTTCGTACTGCAATTGTACATATTCTCGTGCACCCAACATTCTTGTTTGATGCTCGCCCTTTGGCGTCCAACTATGACCAATAATGCATTCCATTTAGTTCAAAGTCCACTACATGCGCCCCGCATGCATTTCCCTCCTGTTTATGGTGCAATGTTTGACCTGTGAGCTCTGCACCAGTTATGCATCAGTGAGCAGCATTGCAGTAGCCACAGTCCTTGCCTGTGTGCGTACACGTATACCGGTACTTAGTCAACATGTGTGTTATTGTCTCTGCCTATGTTGAATGTGTCCCCCCCCCCCCCCCGCCCACCCCCCCGCAGATAGCGGCCGACTCACCACCATGCAGCTTGTCCGCAACGGCGAGAAACGTGGCAACTTGAACATCGACAAGAAGCTGAACAAGCGTTTCAACCAGCTAGGTTTTATTTCCAGCAGTACAGATTCAATAGTCATACGCTGGCAAGCGCAGCATGACATGGAGGTACGTCCATACAACGTTGCGCCAGGCTCAACAATTCGGGGTTTTTAAACAGTTGTTTGCAGTGAAGAGACTGCTTGGGGGGGGAGACAGACAGACAAAGGGAGAGAGAGAGAGAGAGAGAGAGAGAGAGAGAGAGAGAGAGAGAGAGAGAGAGAGAGAGAGAGAGAGAGAGAGAGACAGACAGACAAACAGACAGACAGACAAACAGACAGACAGACGGACAGAGTTGGGAGTAACTTGCAAGTGGCCGCACTGGAGTTTATGAACAGTTCAAAACATCTACTTCTACCAAGTATTGTAAAAGAAAGGAAACGAAACAAATGTTTACTATTGGCTTTGATTTGGTTGATATGTGGCTGCGCATCCGTCCAGCAATCAGTTTCTTTACATCCGGTGTCGTTTTTCTGCCCTTGTCCCTTCTGTCTACCCATTTGCGCTCCCCGGCATGGTTTGCTCTGTCTTTCCACTGCCCAGGTGAAATACTCCTTTGCCGTGTACGCCGACATTCGCCGTATCTCCAGCAGCACCGTGGGTGGTAATACCAGCGGCTACATACCCAGAAAACGATCATGTAAGGATATGAAAAAGGTTTCGCGGAGGCAGAAATGAAATCAACGCAATAATGATAGGCAAGTTGCGCATCCAATACACACACCCTGTGAGAATGGTGTGTGTGTGTGTTGGATGCGAAACTTGCTTTGTTTATAATCATAGGTTGAGGGAATGGAAAAGGGTAGAAAGTCTGAAGAAAAAAACTGACTGTCACCACCAGGACTCGAACTAGGGACCTTCGCTTGAGGCCAGCGATGCTCTAACCACTGAGGCATGGTGTAGCTGTCATCCCAGCAGAGCTTTATTCTATGCGTTTTGAAAGATATGAAACGGAGCTAATATTCAACTCCATGCAGTTGCTCTCTATTGAGTGAGTCAGGGCTCTCTGACCAGGTTGGGCCACTTGTAGGTCGTGATGGCATGACTGATGTTTGCCTCACAGTATGTCCTGAAGAACTGGCTAAAGTTGATCTCTATCCGTGCCGATCGCTTTGAAAGGGATCATTACAGTTCTCAGTTTGTTTCATCACGGGGAGGGGGGGGGGGGCTGGGTTCTTGCCTTATAGCACTGCGTCTGATGGGCAACAAGATGTTCACGTGCTTTGTGCGATCACTATCATGGGGCATGGAGGTTTGCTCAATATGGAAGCATGTTCAGATAAGAAGCACCCGGAATACTATCAGTACAATCGTCATGCAGATCTACATGACTGTACTTGTACATTTTCCTGTTCACCATGGGGGGGGGGGCGGGTGTCTTTTCTTTGTTCCAGAGTTCCACTGTATTAATTACCCATCATTTCAGTCCCACGTGTCCGTCACAGTGTTTCTGTTGGTGTACAGAAAAGTCTTTAAAACTGGTCTCTGTAGGCCGGTAGATTTTGTAGACAGGTTAGAAGGTACATGACTCTGCTGCATATTCTAAAGCCTAGCCGGACCAATCTCTTCACACATTTTGTAGTCTTTTCAGTCTTGCCGGGCCAGACACTACTAATGCAGGCTTTGCCTCATCTCTTCTGATCTGCTTGTGCCGCAGGTATTGGTTTGCAGCTGGCCTGTGTACAGGGACTCAACGAGGCAGAGAAAAGCACAGAGAGTGTGTTTGTGCTACTGACGTTTAGCAACTCACGCAACGAAGCATTACCCGGCGACCATATCCTCCTCAAACTCAAGAGAAGCTGCGGACGTAAGTCATAGCGCTGCGGCCAGTCTTGCTCAGAAAACAGCGCCATTTATCATTCATTGGTGGACAGTTACTCTCAACTCGTATCCATATGTCCTTTTCCTTTCTACATTTATCATTTATGCATTCATTATACATTTATCATGCCATATGGGTGCTTTGGCTTTTCACTAAACTTCTAAACTTAAATGCCTTGAAACATTGCAGTACATGTGCTGTGTGCCGCAAAGACACAATTATCAGTATGATTTGCACACAGCATGTAGTTGTGCTTACCATCACATGTTCATATCATATTGGACATTCTGATCATCCCCCCCCCCCCCCCCCACACACACACCGGCCTCTTTC